AATCGGCCGATCGGGCCGACGATCTATGAGAACGAGAGCAAACGATAAAAATTGCGTATATATATCAAACGCGAGTATAATAATTACTTACACTGCTCTTTCTGATGTTAAAGATGAGAAATAAAAAAAAAAAAAAAAAGAAACATCGAACGGTATTCATGAGGAACTATCGATTGTGCGGCGTAAAATCACCTCCCGTGGACGAAGGCGCGAGGCCACGATGGAACAAAAGGCGTCCACGAGTGCACTCCGGGAGAAAGAATTAACACAATACAAGCTCTCGCCAACTTTGATTGGCCAGCCGACTCTCTCGCAAAGTTAAGTGCATGTTCCCCGAGGCAAACAATGTTAAAATAGCACAGACGGCAATAGGTCGCGCGAAGTTATCCCCTTTTCTTTTACGCCGGGGTAAAGCATGCGTACAAGTACTCGCATTAACTGTGTAAATAGCTATTTGTCTTACAAGTGGTTGGATAAGAATTAGTGTTTTAACGCCGAGGAGACACGAAAAGAAACGAGCGGAAATGGCGTCGCGGGTCTCGAGTATCTTCGAGTGGATTTTTGCTACTTCTCTCTTTCTCTCTTTCTCTCTCTTTTTCTCTTACTCTCTATCCATTTCCGATCGTTTCTCGTGAAAAATCCTGAAAACTTATTGCCGACGTTACCGCGACGGAAAACTGCGACTTCAAACCACTTCGAACCACGTACGTACGGAGGAACAATGTGAATCGATTGCTCAATGCATTTTTTTTTTAACGTGTAATATTTAAAAAAATAAAAAACGGCAACTTGTGAAAAAATTAACGAGGAAACGTCGAGACAACGACATGCCAAAACAATGTTCGAAACAACGGAAGTTATTACGCACAATATTCCGCATTGTATACCGCGGCCAATTTCACGCCAGTTCCACGCTTCCCTGACCAATCGTGGAAACCGACGAATTACCGATATTTCCGCGAAAGAATTCCAGGTGCAATGTAATCGTTCGTGTGCAACGTCAAAAATTTCACTTGGAGTGTGTTAAAACAATTTTTTGCGTGTATAATATAAAATTGCAACGGACGTACAAACAAATTAAACGGAAAATATATGTGGAAGAGGCAATCGCCAATATGGAGAAACGCGATCCGAAGCTAACGAAGCTGCAGGCATATGTACATAGAAAGTCGATGTCATGAGTTCACGAACCGTGAAGAAGAAAAGAAGAAGACGAAGACGAAGAAGAAGAAGAACAAGACGAAAAAGAAGACGACCAAGAAAACAGCGTTGGAGGAGAATAGAAGAGGAACCGGCGCCACTCTTCGAAACGGTGCCCCGCGTCCGGCTCTTCGTGGTGTGCAAGGCTCGCGCGCCAACTCGCGGGGGTAAACAGACGAAATTATATCGAAGAAAAATTACCTCGAGATAATAGTGATTAATGATCCGACGGGCGGACGCGTATGCGTGAAAACGGGCGTGTGTGCGTTCGCGTCTGTACGAGCGACGCCCGGTAAAATATGATACTCGGTAAACTCCGCTCTTTCTCTCTTTCTTTCTTGCGTTCTCACTTCTCTGTCTCTCTCGCTCCTTCGAACATTCCCCTATTGCGAATCCATACCACCATTCCTCCCTCTCCTCCCTCTCTTATTGACTTCGGCGACACGAAACGTCAGAGGACGAGGAAAGAAGGCGCAAGAGGAGCTCAGACAGCAATCTTCTCTAATTAACACATTAAGACTAATCAGAGTCACTCGGTTATTCCTGTTCGACGTTCCCACTTGAAAAGAGAGAGAAAGAGAGATTTAACGTTCCGCTTAAATTAATTCTAATTATTTCCAGAGCTCGTGTACCCATCCGCGTCGCAAGAGACAGAGATTCGTCGTTCTTACAATTTTTATTCACAGTTTTTTTTAGAGCAAGCATTTTCGGAAATGCACAATCGCACGTGATAGAATAATAATATAAATTTCAGCAGTTATATTCTAATTAATATCAAGTAAAACAATTAGATATTATTGTTAGTAAATGATATGCAACAAATATGTTTAAAAGGGAAACGGAGAAAAGATTAAATATGATTCGCGATTATTTTGTGTGTTTTTCTTTTTCATTTTTTCTTTTAAGAGAGATTCTTTCGCAGAATTGTCAATGAAATTTAGACAAGTTCCCGTTTCTTCTTGTCTCTCCTCGCGGTGAAAAAGATAAGACGCGGTGAATGCATATAGTAGAAACTGGTTTAAATATTTTCTGAGCACGTGTTTCACATAGGCAGAGATATACTCGCTTCTCCGGCACGCTCGAACGTATGTATAAGGCCCGCTCTGCTCTATCTCGGGTCAGATCTCCGCGGTGATCTTCAGCTCTCATTTTTTCGTACGGTCACTCCGCTATTATGCACGTCCGCGAGGGTCTTTCTCTCTCTCTCGGAAGAAACTCGTTTGTTGTGTACAAAAGCCTCGACCGACTATTATTAATTATCACGATACGGTATACACCCGCGAATAGAGAGAGAGAGAGAGAGAGAGACATGGGGAATTCGACATGGGGGCGAGGTATATGCTCGCAAAGCGAAGGGAGATTTTCTCTCGTAACGCGCGGAAAAGATAATCGGAAGGCGTTACGAGATAGCGCGCGTTTGTCCTTTTCTGCGACGCGTGACGCAACGCGCGATACAAACATATTCGTTGCATATCAACGTCTCGAGAAGAATTCTCTGGAAGAACTCCATTTTGTCAATCTTGCAAATCACGCGAGAAACACAAATCACTCGCGTTTTATGTTTTATCCTAAAAATTTGAAAAGATAATTTCATCTAACAATAGATGATTCAATGTCACATTTGCACTTTGTGTGCGATGTAACAAATAAAACTTTTTGTCACTACTTACGTCGTTGCAAACAGAGTTTTCCAAGTAATTTATTATTAGTCGGCATTGTGCCACGTTTTTTTTTTTTTAGAAAAACACTCACCATCAGCAGCAGCGATCTCGGATCCGCAGGATCTGGCGATGGGAGAAACGAGCCTCTTCGGTCATCAAGATTCGTCCAAGCACTCGCGCACGGCACACGATTGTATCAGAGTTAATTAGGTTAAATATGCGACTTGTCACACGAGCTTTGATCGAATTTAATCACGACGGTCGCGCGCTTAATATTCCTCAGGTAATTGATACAATTTGAATAAATTTATGTCAACCTACGACGTGTTATTCGCGTCGAACTTTTGCGCTTAACGAAGCGGTATTCCCGACACGCGTGCACAACACAAACAAAAAAAAACACTTACTAAATCTAGGAAGCATACAGGTTAAAAAAAACTAAAAGCATTTACTGTGTCTAATGTTACTAAATATAATACAAATATATATATATATATATATGTGTGTGTGTGTGTGTGTGTGTGTGGTATGTAAGTATATATACATATGTATATTTTATGTGGTATGTAAGTATATATACGTATAGTTTGGTATATAAGTATATATACATATATGTATATTTTATTTCAACCGAAATAAAGTACGAAAGATATTTCGCGATTAGAAAACTACTAGAATGATATTTAGCAAGAAAAAACAAAAGCCTGAATCTGTCTTTGCTCACAATGTGAAACCCGCGAGTGGAGGAAAAAAACCCGTCAGCGCGCGAATTGATTCAAGTGAATTGACTTTTGCACGACTCGAATGTGCCGCGAGCTCGCACGGTTTTACGACATCTAGAAAACAAAACACACACATATCGTGATAAGTAAGGTTTTTTTTTTCGAACGATGCCGTTTTGGCGTTCGATAATTGCCGCACAAACATGTTTACGTACCTGCCGCTCCGGAGCTGCTGTCATTATTCCGAACGCCGGCCACTTGGATCGACGAAACGCGCACCACACATGATCGCGAAATGATCGGATATCGGAAAATCCGCGTTTATTTGCGTCGAGACTCATATCGATTTCACGGGAGAGAACACGATTAGAGAAAAGAACGCGGAAGAAACGCGCGGATCGAGACGTTTCGACCGATCGAAGAAGCGGACAACTTCAAGCGCGCGCGGGTGGCTAGTCGCGAGCGCGCTACTAATCACAGCACCAGGGACACCTAGAAGCACAAAATACATCGTGATAGCAAACTCTGTGTCGAAATACTCTCTTTGATGAAAACTAAATCGTGACAGAGAAAACTTCATTTTCGTTCTCTCTCTTTCTAGCGAATCTCGATTGGCCGAAGATTTTTCTGAACGCTTCTCAATATTCAAAACAAAACAAAACTATATTTACACACATATTTACTGCCGCATACATGCAGTACTTTTTCTGTCTCCAATTGTTATCGTCAAGTTATTTTTGTTTTATTCGCGTCGGTTTCATTAACGATTCGTGTTGCCGTTTCATTTTGTTTCTCAATACAGCGAATAAATCAAAATTTATTTACACACATGTATTTCTGCCGTATATATATATATATATATATATACACATAATAGTTTTTTCTGTCTCCGATTGTTATTTGTGTCAAATAGTTTTTCGCGTTGGATGAAATATTTCAACTTGGTTTAACTTTCACTGACAGTGTTTTTTCTCGAACGCGGCCGTCGCACAAGGCGTTCGATACTTGTTCCATAAAAACATGTTTACATACATACCATGTCGAGCGGCGGTGGTGCGCAGTCACGTCGTCGCGCGAGCATCAACTTCGAATCGCACGCAACGAGGAGATCACACCGAGACGACACAGAAAATCCGCGCTCCGAAACCTCCGATTTTGTCGATTTCTTTCTGAGAACGCCAAAATCACGGACGGTATTGAGACGCGCGAAAACAAAAAAGCGCGATCGCGAATTGAGACGCACGCAAGACGGGTAAACGCGTTTCGACAGTTGAAACTAGCCGGCAATTTCACGCGGGTGGGCAACCCATTCGATTCGATCCCACTCACGCCATCTGTGATGGGCGGAGCGCACTACTCAACTCCCACCAGCCGCGACGTGAATCTCTACTTTATTTACCACGGGCGGTGACGCGGCTATAGGTGATCAGCGAAAGTTAGTCAAGTTTGAACAATTTTTTTTCGGTCGTTGTTGTTGCTGTTGTACGCGGGACGATGCTTCTTCGGCGCGATGGATTTTACGTCAGAATCGAGTTCCTCGAGCGATGCGGGAACGGAGGAGTTACAGGTTAGGCGCATTCTTTTATCGCATTTATCAATAATTTATCAATTTTGTTTGGTTATCGCGCCGTGATTAACATGGCGGTTCCGAACGATCGCGAAAATTCTAAATATATTCGAGATTATCGCCCACGTAAAAAACAAAACGAAGAGGGAAGTTTATATACGGCGCAAATTCTGCTTAGGAAGAAAGACGTTTTCAGAATGTAAAAGCCACGTCACGGCGGCTTAACGTTTTCGAATAATGTCGCGAAACTGCTTGGGGAATGGCAAACTGCCATTAAGAACTGGAGCGAGAAGGACGTTTTCGTCCCGGATAAATATTTGAAACGTTCTCTGACGATCTTGAGAGGTTCATTACGAGGGATTACACTCATATCGAGGACTTAGAATTCTCCTTTCGCGCCAGAAGGCGCGATCACAGTCTTTGCAGACTGATTCGAACGCGGCAAATTAGTTCGCCTCGTCTTCTCTCGCTCTCAATACTTCGTTTTCTCTCTCTCTTCCTCTCTCTCTCTCTCGTAATCGCAGTCTTCCTCCGTCTTCCGACTTAATTTCCGGTTCTTCCTGCGATCATTTAAAGTTCTTCGCGTTTAAGCCGAATACTCAAGAAGAAGTTTTATCGTAAATGACGCGGGCATTACGCGGAATAAATGATTGCATGCTAATAAGAAAAAGGTAACGGACAGCGCGGTAAGTAAAAGGAACGCGAAAATAGCGAAACGGAGTTTTCTCGAGTAAATAGCGGAAAAATAAATAGTCCGCGCATTGTTATTCAGAGAAGAATGAACGGGAGCGACTTGGGTTTCTTTGTCAAGAATCGGTGACTTTCCTCGCGTAATGAGATTTCATTAATAACGTAAAGGAAAAAAAAACGCGAAAGAAACGCGAAGAAATTTCGAAACGCGGAGAGACGACGCGCGGTACAATGTAACATTGAAAAAGTTCTGTTGTTGCGATATGTGTTACACGAGTTGTGTTATTTATTTATTTTTTTATTTTTTTTTTCAGATACATACGTGTACGAGATCATGTATATATTGGATACGCAGAAAATGCAGAAGGACGATACGCTGGGCTCGCGAATTCGGCACGGCTAAAATTAGCATCCAGATATACAGACGCTATAGGACAACGCCGTCGAGGTAATAGACGTTTAAGGCTTAATGTATGCATTGAAAACTATTAGGTATTCAAATACTCGGATTGCATTACGCTCTGCGCTATATAATACCTGACTTCCTCCGGGTGGCTCCTGCCGCCGCCGTCGACGAAATTGCCACACTATTATTATTCTTATTATATTTTATTTATTAGCCACGCCGAGTTTTTGATCCATCTTAATGGCGCGAGTCGAGACGACAACGATGTCGGTTCCACGGACAAAAGATTGATTTCTTGTTGAAATTTTTTGTTTTTTTTTTTTTTTTGTTTTTTTTTTATCGCGAACTGCAACACAGACACACACTTGTTATTCCTTGCGCGTTTACAAAAGTGGAAAAAATCTCACAAATTCGTATCGGGAGAGCAAACGCGCGTATAATACGCTTTCTTTTTCGCGCCATTGCGCGCATATAACTGTAATAAAATTGAAGAACCAAACCCCCCTTCTGCGTGGTAGGGACGCGTCGAAATCAATCCTGCAATTTCGCTGTAAATGCGTTCAATTAACGCGATCGACGGGGGGAACCGCGCTACCGTCAATACGAAGGTCTTCGATTTTTACGGAGCCCTTTGATGTGAGCAGGTTCGATTCGATTCGCTGTTACAAAACTCGTTACACGACGAGCGCTGTACCGAGACTTCTTACAAGACAGTGGCCGTGCTCGATGGCGAAGAAGGCGTTTCGCTTCATTAGCGATAAGCCCTTTTTCCTCCTCATCGCCGTTCCGACGAGTTTTTCTGTTCCGCGCGCGTTTTTGACTCGCCCCGGCCTCATGACTTTATGGGCTTATATGCGCATTCTTCGCTGATCGCGCACCGAAACCAGGTGTGCGGTATATTATCATTAAGGATAAATCACTCTCTCTCTTTCGCGGATGCAACCTTGTACATGCGCAATGTATGCGATAAAGTTTAACTTATTGAGGTATTTTTTCACTGTATGTGTGTGTGTGTGTTAAGTCGCACGCTTCAATTTGCCAAATTGAAAAATGTTTTTTCGTTTTTGCGAATGATTACCTCGAAATAAGCGAGTATTTGTAAAGTCGATTGAAAATTGTTGCGATATTTTATGGTCTCTCGCGATATTTCTTCCTTCGTGTTTAATTCAACATTTGTTTTGTTTTGTGTTTTTTTTATTATTATTATTCTATTTATTCAAAAACAGCGCCGACAAGCAGAGATATCTCTTGCAACCGAGAAAGTTTGTTGCAGCGAATTAATCACGCAAAGCTTTTCGTGGAAGGACTGTTCTACGGAAATCTTACGTGACATCATATCAGATCCTTTCTTTTTCTCTGGCATATTTTTAGCACTTGTCTAGTTTTAATTAAATTGCAATCCCCCCGACGTAGTAGCGAATCTCTATTTGTAGTCGAATTTATTCTCTTGAATGAAACAAATTTATGTAAAAATGTGCAAATTTCGAAAGAAATATCAGTTTAGATTTTAATTTGAAGTAATTAAATAAATTTTTAAATACAATACGTTTCTGCGATAGAATTCGGAAACTTCGTAACTATCTGAGCATCGCATAGTAACCGTAGATAAATCGTTTCGATCGGGGAATCGCGCAACAAAGGACTGCGCGTCGCAAGGACGCGCGGATCTTTCCCCTCTCCTCTCCTCTCCTTCTCTCTTCGAGAACGTATCGAACGGTTCGGCAGTCAAACGGAATCTCGGCCGGGTCGGCAATTAATTTCGTGCGAATTCGGCGAACGAGTTTTGCGGGATCGTGTCCGGGGAGAGATTCCCGAAACCGAGAACCCCGATATCGGACCCGGGCTCTTTTCTGGGAGCCGCTCTTTTCCGGTCGACGCCGCTCTAATTAATAACGGATCGGCGCCTCAACCCTTTTCTATCCGTGGGATGTGCGGGTCGAAATCGGTGCGACCGGCCGGCCGGCCGATCGACCGACCGGTCCGATTTAAATTGAACCGTTTCGTCGAAACAAAGGGGGCGGCCGAGAAAGCACGAGCACGCGAAATTAAACAACCTGCAATATCTCCGGGGGAGAAGGGGGGAGAGGAATCTCCCTCTCTCTGCCCTTCTCGCGCACGCCACCCTACAAAGGCGCGTTCACACCCGATTAGGCGCACGCCGTCCACACAACACCGGGTGTAGCGTGAGGGAGAAGATCCGACGTCTGTCGGGATGTGTCTGGGTAACGGAGGAATGTCTAATAACGAACGTGCGCTGCCCACTCGTAGCCCACTTAAAGTATCGGCCGGTCCGCGCGACAGGGGCACGCGCGGATGAAAGAACGAAAGTGATATATCCGCGCGCACATTTGCATGTATCGTTCTTGCTGCTGGAAGTTAGTTACTATACGGGCGAAGAGAGAAGCTGTCGAATGGAATATTCATTCGGGACGACGGAGGCGGGTCGCGCGCCGGCGAGACGGTCTCGCATAAAATTCCTACACGCGTTGCGTCGACCTGAAACGATATCTTAGAAGTAGAAGGATAACGGAAACGCGCGCGCAGGATGCAGGCAATTATAGTGTTTAATGATGGTACCACAAGGCCCTCGAGGCAAACATCCGTTATGGTACACTCGTTATTTTGGTAATTACTAGCCTAATTTCGTTCACTATTGTTCGGCCACCCGTCATCACCGGAGCGTGTACAAGTTCATTGGCCCTTAATGCAATTAAAATCACGACGGGATTTGATTGACAAATCACGGGGGTGATTAACATGTAGACCGGATGTGATTTGATTGCGGTCATTTAATTATTTGCATGTCTCTCGCTTCTCGAGAAAGGAAGAAACAATGATGACACAAATAACCTTTCTCGCAATTAACTTTTACGTGAACAAGTGGGAGGAGGGGGAGGAGAGAAACCGTATGAAGTATCTTAATATGCTGTACAGAAAAATTGGTAACTTCCTTTCACATAACAGCAGTTGTTAATTTCGAAATCCCATTTCACGTAATTTCTTTTTTTTGCCACGTAGTAATTTGAGCGCGATAGAATTTCAGAACATTTCTCTCTTACATGCTCTTTTTGTAAAAATAATATGTGATGTATATTGGAAAGTAGTTCGTGCTTCATCCGCTATATATTTCGAATATAAAGTCTCGATCTAAGAATCGCGGTTTATCCTGTAATTAATCCGGAAATATAATTTCTTCCCTCCCTTTTCTCTCTCTCTCTCTCTCTCTCTCTCTCTCTCTCTCTCTCTCTCGTGTTTCTTTATAGGAGGAAAGTTGTGTCGTCAAAAGTGAGGGGTAAGAGAAAACGAGGGTTGACGGTTAAAAGGAAGCGGCGAGGGTACGGCGGTTCCGCCGCGCGGAGTTTTTAATCCAGAAAGCTATCCCCCGCGTAATCGTTCCGTTTTTAAATTAAAGAAATAAAGGAAAGATCTTCGCGCGCCGAGGAGACGGGAACTCATTTGCACTTAAAAAAATGACGAGCCATAAAACTAACGCCCGCGAACGCGGAGAATTAACGACGAGACGGGAGGAAGAAGCGGGGTGAGAGAGAGAGAAAGAAAAGAGACGGGACGCGGGAAGACGGAAACTGAGAAAAGGAATCTTAACAGTGGGAAAACCATTAACAAATGAACGCGCACTTTATCGAGCGGAAGTGATTTTGATTCGTTGACTTCCTTCTCCTTCCTCTCTTTTAAATTTTAACGCGGCAGTTTCTTTAATTGGATTTTTAATTGGGACGATTCGCGCGCTACATTAATCCTTCGTCCCCGCGATCTCTACCCTGTGTTTATTGTTATTATTATTCTCAACAATCCCTCGGTCCTAGCTCCTCTCTCTCTCTCTCTCTCTTTCTCTCTCTTCCTCCTTCCCTCGCGCAAGTTCTCATTAGGCGTCGCATTTTTCACCGCTGATTACGTTTGCGGTTACTCGTGGCCTCTCTTTCTCTTTCTCTCTCTTTCTCTCGTCTTTCTCGCGGCCAATTCCCTTCCGTGGTTTACGGACGCGCGTTAAAATGTTCAGAATTTTTTCGCCGAAGCTTAATAACTTACAAGCTTCTCATTCCTCGCTGCCTTTATCCTGTCGTGATGTATACACGGTTTCCTCGATAAATAACTAAATGAAGATAAAACGCCTTCGCGCGAAAAAAAAAAATTATTCTCAATTCCAAATACAAAAGATGAATTTTTTTGTGTATTGAGAATAATGAGAAGAAGATAATTTTTTCTTAATGTTTCCTTTCCACGAAATAACAAAAAATTCGAAGAAACATTTTTCTCTTCGCGGGATCGTTAACTTGACGCGTGAAAAAAAAAAACGCGCACCGGTTTCTCATCAGTTGTAATTAATTAAGCGTATAAAATATTGGATGTTTCACAACGCGCGCGCGAGTGAGGATTGCGCCTTTATATCAAGATCGAGCTACACGATTGTAACACGAGACATCGTGAAGAGAGTTGGAGCGAAAGGATTAACAGCGTGACGAATATCGCGGGCGTGTAACTCGAGCCCTTTCGTGCTTCACCCCCTTTCCGTAACATCGCCGGGCGCATCGACGGCAGTAATAATAATCGCAATAATCACAATCGTGCCCGGGTCTCGGCCAATTTGAATATGAATTCGAGTGCGAACAATGTCATCGCACGGAGTGCGGGGGCGGGTCCGGTGGGGGTTGCACAGTGCTCGTAACGGGGTGAGAAGAGAGAGGCGAGGGAGGAGGGGGGGTTTATACGTGCCGTATCTCCCCCACGGATCGGCTCCTGCCCGGTACTTGCTAACTGTCCCGGACTGTTAGTTAGTTAACTGGCTCGCCGGGGTGACAGTCACGTACTGGAGAGGGCATTCGAATCCGGAACTCTCATCAAAATCAGCGTTCGCTACGTTTAACCCGATAATTAAACTCGCTGCGTCCCGCCGAGTCCCCGAAGTCGTGCCGTCCTTCCGTTCTCTCGCTGTTCCGTCGCTCTCTCCTCCCACGTCGTTCTCTCGGATCTTCAATGAGGGAAATTGCGCGGCCCGAAATTTGCATTCGCGCATTTTCGTCCGC